TACGTAATTTCATCCTATAGTTTCCTACCCTTGTGCATCAAACTCATACTGTATCTTGTACTACCCACTTCCCCAATATTATTACTGAAGACATATATCCTTACCAGTGCAATAACCTCTGTAAACTTATATTGCAGTTATTTGTTGATATAAAAACCTTGCTACAATGTACCCTTTCATCTTTCATAATATGTTAGATTAAGGACCTGCCCGAAACTCTATGCGTGTTAGTGGCTTTGCTTGAATGTAAAAATACCAATCTTATGTAATCTCTCGAACCCATTGTACATTCTTGCAAATAAATTATTATTATTATTATTATTATTATTATTATTATTATTATTATGGGTATGGGATGCGTCTAACATTCCACCTTTGTTCACTGGATGGGTATGAGGAGGGGATGGATTCTGCAACCTCTCCACCACCGCTCACATAATGGGTATGGGGAACCTGAAACCTATCCACCATTGTTCACAGGATGAGTATGGGGTGCCTCTAAACTTTCCACCACTCCTCACAGGAAGAGAACAACGTACGTTTTCTTTCCACATATTGAGTCAGAACTAACCCTGTATATATATAGAATATTGTTTGTCGTTAGATCTATTTGACTAGTAGATTTGTTCAATGTATTATGTAGTATATGTTGTCAAGTTTGAGGGGTGAATTTACTGTTGTTAGTAAGTCCAAGTTGCGTATGGGTGTGCTGCGAATTTTCTTTCAATTCGGGGGAGAGGGAGTGTTGTGCAAGCTGTTATGGCGGTATATTCACTCTTTGGATGAGTGATGCTGCCCAATAAATTCATCCTTCGCTGAAAAATGAACTTATGTATATGTTTTACATTACATGGATAAAAGCTAACGGCACTCTTACAAAAATCTATGACAGATCAGGGAGTATATACATTCTGAGGTACACCCCTCTGATCTGTGTGTCTATAAAATGTTTACTTTAGTTCTGGACTATGTTCAAGAATAAAATATATATGCTATATGACATCAATAATTATGTATCATGGCCTTAATAATAGTCCAGGGGCTGAGAGACCTTAAAGTCAATACCAAACCTTGAATTATGCCGAGAAAGCCTATCACACTTTATTATTTATTCATTTATTTATATACAAGAGGGTACATTAGGTTGTGAGAGTACATAACATTGGTGTTCTTACATTCTTGCTAATACGCACAGCGTTTCGGCCAGTTTAGTTTTTTAGGCCATTTTAGTTTCTTAATAAATATTATGAAAAAATGTATCAGTTGAAATTAGCTATTTTAATAGAAAAATGGTATTAAGGCATGTTTGTATTGGGTAATGCTGTTCTGTTTTGTTAATTACTAACATAATAAACTATATCTTAATGTGTTTGCTATTTGAAACGCTCGAATTTTATATAGGACATAAGGTACTGGGCTATATTCTGATAATAACAGGCTATTTTTTGTATTCAAAACGCGTATTTGCAATTTAAGAAACAAATTAGAATGGGATATTTCCTTCTTCACAAATGTTATAACTTCAAGGCAGAAGGATCAGAATAATGTTCAAGCCCATAGGCAGAGAATAAAGTTCAAGGTTGCATATAAATGATAACATCCAAGGCCACAGGGTAACGATAACGTCCAGGGCCATTGGGTGAGAATAAGGTTCAAGTTCATAGGGTGAGGATAACGTCTAAGGCCACGGAGTGACGATAACGTTCAATGTCACAGGGTAAGGATAACTTTGAAGGCTACAAAGTGGTGATAACGTTCAAGGCCTCAAGGTGAGGAATTGAGGATAACATTTAAGGTCACAGGGTAAAGGTCACGCTCAAGGCCACTGTGGGAGGCTAACGTTCAAGGCCACTGTGGGAGGCTAACGTTCAAGGCCACAGGGTGCCGAAAACGTTCAAGGCCACAGGGTGCCGAAAACGTTCAAGGCCACAGGGTGCCGAAAACGTTCAAGGCCACAGGGTGCTGATAACGTTCAAAGATAGAGGGTGATGATAACATCAACAACAGAGGGTGCCAAAGAGTGATGGGTAACGTCCCAAAGCCACAGGGGTGAGGATAATGTTTAAGGCCACATGGTGAGGATAATATCCAAGGTTATATGGTGACGATAACGTTAATGCCAAAAGATGAGAGCAATGTCCAATGCCACAAGGTTGAGGATAACGTCCAAAACCATAGGGATAGGATAACATTTATTGTCACAGGGTGATGAACGTTCAAGGCTACAGGATGAGGATAATGCTCTAGGCCACAGGGCGAGGATATCATTCAAGGACATAGACTGCGAATATCGTTCAAGGCCATAGGATTAGGATAACGTTTAAGGCTACAGGATGATGATAACGTCCAAGGCCACAGGGTAAGGATAACATTCTAGACCAGAGGGTGAAGATATTACACGAGGATAATGTTTACCTCTAAGCAATTCAAGATAAATAACATACAGGAAATCGGGAGGTGTGTGTTTTTGAGACTTAAGTTGGTATCACTGTTGGTGGAAGCATGGTTGATCGACACCATGTCTACAACAATAGTGAGCTTCGTTGGTATTAAGACAGACTCGGGAAGTCCCTAGACGTTGCGGAATTCCCACATTGCCTTTACCTCCTTTAGGAGGGGTCCCGGATCCTGTGAGTAGCTGTAACACCATCCTGGCATGCTCTCTCTCTCTCTCTCTCTCTCTCTCTCTCTCTCTCTCTCTCTCTCTCTCTCTCTCTCTCTCTCTCTCTCTCTCTCTCTCTCTCTCTCTCTCTCTCTCTCTCTCTCTCCCTCGTCTTCCCTGTCTACGCTAACCTCTCAGTTTTCATATAATATATATATGTATGTGTGTGTGTGTGTGTGTGTGTGTGTGTGTGTGTGTGTGTGTGTGTGTGTGTGTGTGTGTGTGTGTGTGTGTGTGTGTGTGTGTGTGTGGTGTGTGTGTGTGTGTGTGTGTGTGTGTGTGTGTGTGTGTGTGTGTGTGTGTGTGTGTGTGTGTGTGTGTGTGTGTGTGTGTGTGTGTGTGTGTGTGTGTGTGTGTGTGTGTGTCCCCCATGAAGAGTGAGATCTTGCTTATTGTACCCCGTCTCTTACCTACTTGTAACTGGTTGCGATTAAATTTTTTTGCGTTCTAGTTTTTTGTTGTATTTTTTCTCGAAGACTAAGATGGAGATGACATCCACCATCACTTCACGTGAGTTTCACTTCTTGACCACCCTCTCGGTGTATGAGTGGGTTCTGACCTCTCTCTCTCTCTCTGGCTCGTTTGCCTTTCCACTTTCTATCCATGTCCTCTTTCCTTACTTGTTCTCAAATTGAAAAAAACGTTCTTCTTCATCTTGTATATTTTCCATAATATTTTGTATGTAGTGATCATTTCTCCTTTGAGTTTTCTCTCTTTAAGTTGTTTGAGGTTGCTTGAACTGCCTTCGTAGCTTAGATCACTTGTTGCACGTTCAGGACTCTTTCCCATGCTCAGTTCATGCCGTTGCTGCGCATTCTATGATTGGTCTGCCGAGGACTGTGTAAACTACTTTAAAAACATGCTTTAAAAACAAAGCGTGACAGATTAGGCTTTTTGAACGATGTTTTTTTTCGATTACTTGTTGCCGCCAGCGGCGGCTAGTTTACTGTGCACGCCATACTCATCCTGTGGGCGGTAGTGTAGAATAATTACAGAGGGCACAAAAAGTCTTAATCATACCTCAGTGAATGTTTGACATTGACAATTTATCTGTACACCTGATAATTAATTAAAATGATAGCTGATAACCCACTTCTTGCACTGTATATGCTATGAATGGTAATGCAATATTACACACTGGAGACAAGCAATTTTTATACATAACATGATTTCAATAATTAATATTACAGGATAATAGAAGAGTTGCTGTTGCTGTTTATGTTTGTAGTCTACACAGTATAATTTCATCGCATATATTTAGACTACGCAAAATGAAAAGTATATCATACTTTCATCGCATATATTTAGACTACACAGGATGAAAAGTATATCATACTTTCATCGCATATATTTAGACTACACAGGATGAAAAGTATATCATACTTTCATCGCATATATTTAGACTACACAGGATGAAAAGTATATCATACTTTCATCGCATATATTTAGACTACACAGGATGAAAAGTATATCATACTTTCATCGCATATATTTAGACTACACAGGATGAAAAGTATATCATACTTTCATCGCATATATTTAGACTACACAGGATGAAAAGTATATCATACTTTCATCGCATATATTTACTTTAATTACTAGATGCGGAATATGAATAGTACAAGAATTTCATATATTTTATAGTTTATAATAAAACAATTTGCCATTTCATGCAACGTACGTTTACATTTATCTTTAAATGACTCAGTTTTCAGACAGTATAATAGGCTTCTTCAAAGCTCCTTCACGTCAGTAGACTTCGTCAAAGTTCACTCAACTCACCAGGCTTCCTCTACGCTCTCCTGCCCTGGGATAATATAAGTTAAAAGATATCAGTTAAAATGTGTTACGAAAGTAGGTCGAGAAACTCCAAAGGAGGGTTCCTCTTGCTGCGGGAGACAGTGCTGATAATGACGCAGACAGGATGAGAAATGCAGTGAAGCCAAAAGGGGGTTTCGAACGCTGCGTACAGGTCCCCCGGGTTGCCTGCTAGGCCCTCTGGACTTGCTTCCTCCTGGGCCAGTCAGTTGAGACCCGCATCCCGTGGGCGTCGGCTGTGTGCTTGTTGTGGTCTGCCCCGTCTACTGGCACGCACGCGCCACCTGTCTCAAGAGTCCTGTATATACATTTTTCATCAGATACCGGTATATGTAAACTCGTCGTTTGGCCCCTCCCGGTATATACTCTCCTCGTCAAGTCCCGGTACATACGTTCCTCACTTGGCACCGGCATATTCACTCCTCGTTTGACCCAGGTATATTGAACTCTTCTTCGACTTTCTTCGACTTTTCCAGCTACATACAGTACCTACCTGGTCTGGCCCAGGTATATGCACTCCTCGTATGGTCCCGGTATATATTCCTCGTATGGCCCAGGTATACACTCTCATGACCCTGGTATATACATAGACAATCTTCGCCTGGCCTTGGAATGTACACTCGGCAGACTGGTATACCTTCTCGTCCCTTGGGGCATTTCCTGCTATATAAGTGGTATTGTACCTGTCTACGGAGGACAAAATAGCATTGTGTACAACGGTGCTTCCTGATTTGAATTGAATTGATACAATTAAGATGAGGAAGGACGATTCCTTATTGAGTTAGAATCATACAACACAATGAGCCATTAAGGTTACGCCTGAATTAGTCGCCGTGAACTAGCTATAGCTTCTTCCCCCTTAAACAAAAACCAATATGTGCATCTTTGAATGTCCCTGTTGTCTGGTACTGGTATGTTGATATAGTTTTTCAACGCTATAAATGAAACCTATTATCGAAAGTATCATCTCACAGATATCTACGTTTTCTATGCATCGGATTCGATTGGTTAGTGAGTTGCTTGGGTTCATACCTTTCCGGTAAGCTTAGGTTATGTTTTTCACACAAGAGTGGCAAGTCAAGAGGACGCGCTGCGCATCCAGTTTGGATGGATACCCTTCTTCACTTACAGAAGATGGTGGGCCCCCCACTTACAAGGCACACAGACAGCCATAGAATTTCCACACGGTGAAATAACGAAAAAGACGAAACTAATGACACCCGAAGGACTGAGAGAGAGACTCCTGACGGATGACAAGATAGATAATTTTGTTGATATGGAAAGCGGCTCGGCCACACCTGGTGTTTTACATGCTTTAGTCGTTCGTTAGTTGTGTCGATGACTTATTGTTGTGCCATACACTGTGCCTTGAACGTCGTCACACAGTAAAAGCGTACTTTTGTGCTGTGAGTCAGTGCCAATCAGTGCATATTTATACAATGTGAGTCAGTGCCAATCATTTCGTATTTCTGTGATGTACGTCAGTGCCAATCATTACATATTTCAGTGATGTGAGTCAGTTCCAATCACTGCTTATTTCATTGATGTGAGTTAGTGCTAATCACTATATCTTTCTGTGATGGGAGCCACTGCTAATCACTGCATATTTCATTGATATAAGTCAGTGACATTCACTGCACATTTCAATGATGTGAGTCATTACAATCACTGCAACAACAGTGCTATTACCCCTGACAGTCAGCATGGCGGCCTCCCAGTAGAGATCAAGGGCGACCAGCTTCAGTGGTCGCTCCTCTCTACAGACTTGAAGCGCTTGCGAAATTTGAACACCAATCAAATGAACAATCGAATCCTCGTCACGGCCCTTGTGGATTTGTTCATTTGATGCATCACGTTAGTGTGATCTCTGTGTGTGGGAACACCAATCAACGCTGAAACCGAATGAATGAAATTATTTGTTTAAGTTTGTTTTGTCATATATTAAAGATTCGGCGAAATATTACAGGCGACAATGAATACTGTTAACTATTCATTATAAAAATGTTAGAAGATTCTGCGGGTATTAGAAAAAGTAACACCCACCTTTGTCTCCAGAACAAACCCTTAGCCCTGACGAGCTAAGCGCAGCAGCATTAAGTCACTGAACAGTGTTGCCGAAGAATTTTGGGCACAGACTCGCCCAGGAAGGATTGCTTGTTATCCGGATAGGTCCCTTGGAACCCTGGCGATGCTAGGGAAATGGGACTGGTGGCTTCTAGGGACGGTTTTGCTGGGATTCGTCCTGGAAGCCTACTCTCAACGTCCTGCTGAAGGTCGCTCCAAGAGGCAGGGTAAGTGATGATTGTGTTGGGAAATTATCTTCGGGCTAATTGCTATTTCACATTGGTGTATCTTTTACTCTCTCTCTTCCTTCTATGTCTTCTCACTTTTCGCTCTCAGTTGTCTCTTCTCCCTTTTTTCGTCTTTGGCTCTCTCTCTCTCTCTCTCTCTCTCTCTCTCTCTCTCTCTCTCTCTCTCTCTCTCTCCCTCCCTCTCTCTCTCTCGCTCTCTCGCTCGCTCTCTCACTCTCTTCCCCCCTCCCTTCCCCCGCGCGCCATAAGATAAAAAAAAAAATAAAAAATAGATCAACATGTCAGATGACAAAGGCATCAAACAGAATATTCAGTACTTGTTCCGGGAGAGCAATCACGGAGCTCTGAACCTAAGAAGCATGCAGCTTAGACAGGGAATGTAATATCGTAGCAGTGGATGGGGATATCCCAGCAGTAGGAGGTAACACTCCAGCAGCAGTAGGTAACACTGCAATAGTGGTAGGTAATATTGCAGCAGTGGGAGGTAATATCGTAGCAGTGGTAGTTACAGGCAGAGCGTCACAATCATCATATGCGTGGACCGTGACAGTGTTCCTGGCATGACTGGCTTCACGTCACTGCATCTCCCTTCATTGTCTTCCTCATAACGTCCTCACAATTTCTTCACACAACCTCGCTCACTCACCTCATAATCTAGAAACCTCTCTCTCCCATATAGCCTCACAATCCCATAACCTCACTCTTTCGCGTCATCAAACTCACTCTTATAAACTTACCCACTCACCCCCTTTGCAATTCTCTCCCTCACCACCTCAATAACACTCCTACACCACATCAGTAACTCTCGCTCTGGCCCAACCCTTTGGGCTGAATGATAGATCAACGGTCTCACTTCATGCAGGTCGGTGTTCAATCCCCAACCGTCCAAGTGGTTGGACATCATTTCTTTCCCCCGTCCCATCCCAAATCCTTATCCCTGATCCCTTCCAAGTGCTATATAGTCGTAACAGCGTGATAATTCCCTTCCCCCTTTCTAGTAAACATAAGGAATGCTTTCAAGAGCTTGACAGAGGAATCCATAGAATAATATACACGGCGTGTTGGGCTCGTACTGGGGTTCACGGCACAACATGGAGCCTACATCCGGTTAAGCACAAGAAGAAAATTGAGGTTTAAATATTTGCCGCAACAACCCAGGAACCAAAGATAAAGGAAATGAGTATTTTCGTTACTTGTTGAGTGGGTGACTGTAGGGAGATGACTGGTGAAGGTGAGAGACTGTAGACAGGTGGTGACTGCTGAGAGTGGATGACTGTGGGGAGGTAGTGATTGTTGAGAGTGGGTAACTGTGAGGTGGTTGTGACTGTTGAGTGGGTAACTGTGAGGAGGTGGTGACTGTTGAGAATGGGTAACCGCGGGGAGGTGACTGGTGGGAGTGGGTAACTGTGGGGAGGAGATGATTGTTGAGAGTGGGGTGAGGTTGGGGAGAGGGTCTGGGTCGACTGTGGGGAGGGGCGAGGTAGGAAAATCCATGTATTGTTCGGGAATATCACATCTCATGCGATGTGTGTTGCTCTTTTGTCTGCTTGTCGCTCTGTTCTCACCTTTTTTATTCACCGCCTTGTCCCCTCCCTTGCTTTGTTGTCTCTCTCTCATCTACTGTAATCTCTCACTATTACATAGAAAGTCAGAGGGTGGGCCTTGCTTATGCAGTAGTAACCTTGAAATAAATTACCACACACATCTGCAGCAAGTGATGACTCAATAACCACTTCAGACCAACAAGAACCAAGCCTCGACACCCCAAATTGTTTTTTATTTCCCTTTGTTGATTTTTAGTGTTATAGAACAACTGGTTTGCATGGAATGACTTTTGGAATTTTGTATTGTAGTCGGATGTAACTTCGGCATCAGAACAGTCTCAATGATTTTTTTCCGTCTGTCATGTCTGGGCAAGTTAAGGCGAGAGAAGAAAATATTCTTCTTAAGACAAATAAAAGTAGTAGTATGCCTCGCTGGAATTATCATGTTAGGGAATTTCAAAATTAATTTATCTTTTGGCATAACCAAATATAGTATATCCAGACACAGTGTTCAACTTTTGAGAAAATTGAACACACTAAACCTTTTAGAGAATTGCTTAGCAGAAAAGTATGTCCTGTCATCGCTAGATATCTATATATTGCTGATCAGGTATGCAAATTAGGAGTGAAATGGAGTAACGTCCTCTGAATATTTGTCACTATTATAATATATTATAATTTTGTGCATAATATTAGGTTTAGGTTAGGTGTTTAGGTTCTACTGAAAATGATTTGTATTTGCAGTACGTAGGTGAAGTATTTATAGAGAGGCGATTCGAACATTGAAAGTAAAACAATGTTTGTGAAAAGTGTGAATGTCATCAGTTGTGAGTTTTGTGTAAACCCTTTTTCATTTACATACGGGGCTTGGTGGGCGCATGGAATGAATTTTGGCATTTGTTTATGATGACGGATTGCTGAATTTATGAATGCGTCTTTGTGGTCGACCGCTGGATGGAATGAACATAGAGTGAGGACAGGTTGCACAAACAGGGCTTTGACGGCTGGATAAGCGAGCATTTGACCATTGTTTATGAGGACGGGCTGAGGTAAATAACCTTGGTATTCGGGGGGGGGGGGAGGATGCTTTATAATTACTAACCTTGAGGTACGGGGGAGAAGCATCGAGAGTAAAGGCATTGTCACCACTGCAAAGCTTCAGAGAGATCAACAGCTCCCTGAAAAATTTATTTCGCATAATCTTAGTGAAAATTACGAGTAAATAATTATATAATATTAATGGCTGATATCAATAATATAAAAAGTAGCAGCAAGAGTAATAATACACATCACAGACACAGGGAGGAATAACAGTGAGATCAAGAGCAATAGTGAGGTTGGGGAGGGAGGAAGCGAGGAGGTGCCACTTCCTGTGGAGCTCACCTCACTGGGAACCTGAAGGGCTCCCCCAGCCTGACGCTCGGTGATTCCCTTCTCTATCTGGATACAGCCCGTCCTCGTAAACAAAGGTCAAAAGTGATTCCATGCACCCGCCAAACCTGTTTATGAATGAAAAACGGTTTACGCACCTGTCACACACATGTCACACTGCTGACAGTTGAGAGGCGGGACCAAAGAGCCAAAGCTCAACCCCCGCAAGCACAACTAGGTGAGTACAACTAGATGAACACACACACACACACACACTAAACAACATGTAAGGTAGGCCACAAGAAAAGATGACCATCCAGCCAGACAATATCTCATTGTTACACAGAATAACGAAGGTATAGTTAATATGTAACATGGAATACGAAATACACCTAGAAGTAAACGAAAACTGCGTACTAACTTTTGAGAACAAAAATGGGAAACCCAGGGAATGAAGTAGAGAGGATGGGACACAAATTAACGTACTACAACGGAGATTACCGGATAATCAGGGAATTCGTAGGGTAAACACCACGAAAAGAGAGAACTCTGGGAGAAATCACCTCAGGAAATTATAAATTACATATCAAATGCAGAATATATACGCACTGCAAGACTTCAAGGAGAAACGTACAAAATCAAGCAATAGTGCAACAGGAAGTGCTTGCAGGCAAAATAGATGAGCAAGAGGACTAGAAAAGCTTTAGAGAGAAAAGAAGAGATGATACACAACAACTATAGGAGTAAAAAATGAATATGTAAGAATAACAAGAAAAATAATTTGAATATGATACAGCATCCATGGCAAAATCCATCCATGGCGTGTGTGGGAGAGGTGGTGGCCTGTGTGGGAGAGGTGGTGGCCTGTGTGGGAGAGGTGGAGACGTGTGGGAGAGGTGACAGAGAGGGCGTGCGAAGCTATATTTTTCAGATTTTATTTAGTGTTTGATGTGCAAGACCCTTTGACCGTGTGTCCGGGTGAGGGTGACACACACACACACATGTACAGACCCTTCTCATGCCCTTCAAAACTAAAAAACTAAATAAAAACTATATATATATACATTATATATATATATATATATATATATATATATATATATGCAATTGACGATCACAAAACACTGATCATTTTATGCGGAAAATCCACAGAGAAATATGAAATGAAGTGAACGTTTCGGCTTTGTTAAAGCCTTTGTCAACACCAGACTTTGTCAACAACAGTCTGGTGTTGACAAAGGCTTTAACAAAGCCGAAACGTTCACCTCATTTCATATTTCTCTGTGGATTTTCCGCATATATATATATATATATATATATATATATATATATATATATATATATATATATATATATATATATATATATATATATATATATATATATAAATTAATAACGATAAAATGAACAATAAGAAAGTAAGCTAATAAATAATAATCACAACATATAAAGAAAAGTGTTGATAACATCAGCTAATATGGAGGGTATTAACAGGTACCATTGTATTGAATGACAAGAGAATCTTGAACGACCTTGGGACTAAGATGTATTCCCGTGTTGAAAACACGACAATAGGCTATGCTGTTTACTTGGGGTTCAAAAAGGGGGTTGTATAAACAGATGTAATGAATGACAATAACATGTCAGCATATTATAGGGTGGGATAATGGGTCTGTAGTGCAGTCCTCTGGTTTTGGGTCAGGGACGCCATACTGGGGCAGCCTAGCCGCCGCCACCTCCCTGGCCCCAATATTCCCTGCTACTTTCTTAATTGTAACAATAAGAAGGTAGACGCAGATATATAAAAGTACATTCATGTGATACATATGATACAGTGGTTAATAAGCACATATATGTGGTTTTATTGCTGGAATGTTTCCTTTTGTATCTGTTAATTAAATGTAAAATCTTAGAAAGGATCCTTCTGAAGATATATTGATTAATACGAAAGGATTTAAGGAAATATATATATATATATACACTAAAGCTCATTTTAATACGAGATAAGAAATAAATAGATGGCGCATAAGATAAAAGGAAGTCGGCGATCTTCGAAAATTGTCTTCTTCCTTCTGCGTCATTTGCTACCTATTTTCGTCTTATTATGAAATAGCCTAGCTTCTGGACAACTTTTTCCACGCTGTTCATTTATCCTCGTATCGCTATAACATTACATCATCTTTCATTACCATCACACACTAGAAGTTTTGGCCGGGTCAACCCGAAAGGTGAGGCCAAGTGTTGGGAGCCCAAGAACGCAATAACAAAGGCTGAAATTCTATTGACTTGACGTAAGGTGTAAAAATCAGTACAAGTTATGACATCTGTGCTCCCGTTAACCAAGAGTTAACCAAGAGCCCGGCAACTTAACCACAAATAACTAGAGACGAGGCTAGCGATGCACCAGAACCGGTTTAGGGTTAAGAATCGGTGTCACTTAGAGGGGCGGGAAAAAGCAGTACTCGATGGGCTCATTGGCCAAACTATTATGTATTAACGATAAGACCTACCATTAATGTATGATGACTTACTGTAAATATGTAGCTCTTGTAATAGCACTTTCTCTGTAACTAGCTGACATTGTATCTATAAGGTGTGAAGGATTGAAGAAATTGTTTATGTAATAATCTAAGATGAGGTCTGATAAAGACCTTTTGTGCCCTCTGTAATGCTTTTGCGCTACCGCTCACAGGATGAGTATGGGGTGCACAATAAACTAGCCGCCTTCGGCGGCAACAATCAAAATCAATCAATCGATGGGCTCAAGTGATTTCTGGCACTTTATAAAATGACCGAATCACAGTTCAGGTATGTTATATTGCCATTAGATCCCCCTGTCTCACAGATCCCATGTCTCACTCTCAGTGATAAACATGTCTTATGCCGAATGTGTCAAGAATGTGTAGGCACTACCAAAATAAAACTATATTATTCATTAAGACAAGATGAATTACCACATATTGGGCCAACTATTGTGCAACCTATTGTTCACAAGCCGATAAATCTCTGATTTAGGTCCTTAAGTTCTTGACAGACAAATTCTTGATCACTTCATAATTATAATTAGTTTTTACTATACCTGCCTTGACTGCTTCCCACTGTATGTGACATGAAGCCTGTTAGATAACTGTCGGATACCTGGCAAAGAATATCAACAGCCTGGTTGACCAGCCGACCAACCGGGAGGCCTGGTCGGAGACCGGGCTGCAGGGCCGTTGAACCTCGGAACCTCCACTAGGTAGGTAGGTGCAGTACCTATGTGCTGCCAGTAAACAGAGGTATCAGATGTTAGCAAACGTACCCCAAAGTCTCGTTCACCCCGGGAAACGAACCCAGAACCAATTGGCTGTGAGCCGGCTGCATTAACTACAGTATTGCAGCTGTGTGTGGCTTTTTGTTCCTCTACCTTGGACTGGCTCAGCCAGTTTTTACTGGGCGAAATTTTCACATGCTGGCAGGGGGAAATATGACTGCAGGTGTTGACCCGGAGCCTTATCGCAGTGTTGCTATGATGTGCTGGCTCTCACCACAGATATTTACTATTCAACACATTGGAGCTGTAACTCTTCAAGACTCGTCCTGCATGCTGGTTGGTCGCTGAAGCAGACGCTCTCTGCATGCTGATTAGTTGTTGACGCAGACGCATCTTGCATGCTGATTGCTCACTGATGCAAATGCACCCTGCATGCTGATTGGTTGACACAGACGCTCCTCACATGCTGATTAGTCAGCGACGCAGACGCACTCCGTATGCCGACTAGTCAATGACCTGGACGAAACATTTATGCTGTTTGATCGATGACGCAAACCCGCCCAAAATTCCGATTGGTCAATGACGCTGGCTTACTGGCGCTTGCTGAATAAATCCCGCACCCTCGTGCTCTTCCGTCAACAATCTGTTTCAGTCCACCCAGAATATCCGGAAGAGGGAATTACATGCATATATTCAGCCCGTCCTCATAAACAAAGGCCAAAAGTGATTCCATGCACCCTCCAAACCCCCAGTTTATGAATGAAAAACGGTTTACACACGACTCATAACTGATTTCGTTCGAACACTTCCGGAACAAGTCCTTCACTGACGAATTTTGTTCGAACCACATCGCTGTAAATGCTTCACCCATATACTGCAAATACAAATAATCGCCAACAGAACCTAAACACCTAACCTAACCTATGCCTATACATGCACAATATGCTAATATATTATAATATTAATTTATATTTCAGAAAATTCCTGTTTTGAATGAACAGCATGTTAAAATTTATGAATGCATCTGTGGGGTCGACCGCTGGATGTAATGGACTTAAGTCGAGGACGTCTTCAGTCTGAGGACGGGTTGCAATCCGTCCTCATAGCATGTCCATTCCATCCAGCGGTGGACCCCAAAGACGCATTCATAAATTTTACCATACTGTTCATTCAAAACAGGAATTTTCTCAAATATAATTTAATGTTGTAGAAAACTGCATTTTGTATGTACAATATTATACTAGTATTCTTTTTATGAAGTGAAGCCGGGTTGAATACCCTAAATATTAATAAGAACAGCAAATAATGCATACATTTCCCACCAGATGGCATCAGCTTCAGCATCCCGGTGTTGGACAATGGCGGCAACAGGCGCCAGAGACAAGACAACAACCCCATCGCCTCCGCCATCGGCTCCTTCATCAACACCTTCATCAGACCCCCGCACAATCCTAGCCCTAACGGCCAGCCCAGCAGGCCGGGAAACAGCGAGGTGGGCAATCTGAACATCGGCGGGTTACCCGTCACAGTAACGAGCGGCCAGAATGGCATCGGTATATCATTTGGACAAAACGGTAAGCCTTCACCTTGTCCTCTCTCTCTCTCTGCGCACTTTTGTTATGGCTGTCACACCCTACAGAGAACGCCTTCACCTAATAGTGCTTGTGGGAGTTGAAGCTAATTTTACTTTTGGGTATCTGGTACATCGATGCCCACATTTTCTGTGATTTAAGTTCTACTGAGAAAGTCGGGAGCCACGAGGAGGATTCGAACCCGCAAACTTGGTACTCCCAAGCACACGCCTTAGACCACTTGGGAATGCCAAGTGTGCCGGTTCGAATCCTCCTCGTGGTTCCTACTTAATTTCTACTATTAAATACAGTACAGTGAATTGATCTTAACCACCTCTTCCTTTACGTTGTTCTACGTGTTCACTACTCAGGCACTGAAGGTGCAGTTGCATCCCTGTGGCTCATTTGTATTTCCAGTTTCCTCCTGTATGCTCGTTCAATTTCTTCTCACTTGAATTAGTCTGTCAATGTGCCCGTTGTTCATGTTTCTCGGTATCATGTATGTCGTGACCATGTGCTCCTCTTCTCGCCAGTATTTGCAGATTCAACTACCTTTGTCTTTGTGACTCAGATCTAGTATGAGGTTCGTGACAGGTTTTTGAATCTTCTTTGTGTTTCATGAAGTGTTGATTCCTTTTGGCGAAGCCTGTAGTCGCCTTCCCCTTAGTCTTTACTGCTCTTATGGTTTTGTTTCTCCTTTCCATATTTTTATGACAACATTTACTGGGGCTCAACTCCAGCAATCACTTGTCCCGCCACTCTTGCAGCCTCGGTACATCCTCTGGCATCATTTTGCAACCCTCACATGTTTTTATTCTTCTTTATCTTTGAAAATTTATAAGTATTTAACCGCTGAATACCATAAAATCCCAGCGTTTTGTCTTTGAACTAAAACTCTATCATAACTATCTGAATAATTATTACAAATTCTCCAATTATGTTCATATTTTTTATTTTATTGTCAAAAATTGTATGTATTTTGGGAGAGCACTCTCAGAGTGAGTTGCTGCATATGTATCTTGAGGTTATCTTGAGATGATTTCGGGGCTTTAGTGTCCCCGCGGCCCGCTCCTCGACCAGGCCTCCACCCCCAGGAAGCAGCCCGTGACAGCTAACTAACTCCCAGGTACCTATTTACTGCTAGGTAACAGGGGCATAGGGTGAAAGAAACTCTGCCCATTGTTTCTCTCCGGCGCCCGGGATCGAACCCGGGACCACAGAATCACAAGTCCAGTGTGTCGTCCTCTCGGCCGACCGGCTCCCTGTAGGCACAGAATCCTTGGTGGCTTCATAGAGAACCAGTAATCAGTATTAGTGTACTAGGCGAGAGTATGCTCTTGACTCAAACAAAACACGGAACAGTACGTCACTTTTGTGAGTCGATTTCATTTCAAATTACGTCCAAATTTGGCCATAGCGCGCATACGAGCCAAAAGTGACGTTATTTTTAAGAGGACGGGCTGACCTAAGAGCGCTTCCCTCCCTCCACAGCAGCAGCAGCAGGAGCGGGCGGAGGTTGTCGCCTGGACAATGGTGGGTGTGAGCAAGTGTGCCGTCACACCCGCCGGGGCATCCGCTGCTTCTGCGACCCGGGCTACTTCCTCAACCCCGACCGCCAGACCTGCTCAGACCTCGACGAGTGTCGCTTCAACAATGGCGGGTGCAGTGATCTGTGCAGCAACACCCTAGGCTCCTTCACGTGCTCGTGCGCTCAGGGTAACCTGCAGCCCGACCAACGCACCTGCTTTGACGGAGGAAACACCTGCGCCATCAACAACGGAGGGTGTTCAGAGGCAAGTCCCCTGACGGTTTGGTATCTCTTAGTCCTACATGAATAACCAAACTTTTCTTCAGAAATAACACAAACACACACACACACACACACACACACACACACACACACACACACACACACACACACACACACACACACACATACACACACACACACCAATTTACAGTGTGACCATAAAAATAATCATTTATTGCAGGGGGAGGAGGAGCTCATGGGGGGGGGAGGACCTCGGGAAGGGAAAGAAAACATCGGAAAGGGAAGGAGGACCTCGGAAAGGGAAGGAGGACCTCGGAAAGGGAAGGAGGACCTCGGAAAGGGAAGGAGGACCTCGGAAAGGGAAGGAGGACCTCGGAAAGGGAAGGAGGACCTCGGAAAGGGAAGGACCTCGGAAAGGGAAGGAGGACCTCGGAAAGTGAAGGAGAACCTCAGAAAGGGAAGGAGGACCTCGGAAAGTGAAGGAGGACCTCGGAAAGTGAAGGAGGACCTCGGAAAGGGAAGGAGGACCTCGGAAAGGGAAGGAGGACCTCGGAAAGGGAAGAAGGACCTCGGAAAGGAAATGAGGACCTCAGAAAGGGAAGGAGGACCTCGGAAAGGAAATGAGGACCTCAGAAAGGGAAGGAGGACCTCAGAAAGGGAAGGAGGACCTCGCAAATGGAAGGAGGACCTCAGAAAGGGAATAAGAGGGATAATATGAGAGGCTGAACCAAAGAGTATATATGAGGTAATCATGGAGGCTGATTTTATAGGATTTTGAGACATCAAAGTCAAGACCTAACCCAACTGCTTCATGACCATAGTAGCAGGAAGACAATGATAAAGGAACAAGTAATGAAACTGAAGACAGTGGGGACGCATTCGGATGAAATGAAAAGGAGTGTTGGAGGAACTCGACAGACAATTCCAAAGTGTCTTCAGAATAGTGAAGGTTGTCATTCCGAGCATCACTGGATGACAGTAACGCTGCCAGAGAATAAGGAAACACTTGATGGAATTATAGAAGATGTAGATAACGAGGTCACACCAGTTCTCACAGGCATAAGAGGAAGTACCGTACTGTACTACGGTACAGTCATTTATTTATTTATTTATATACAAGAAGGTACATTGGGTTAGAGAGAATACATAGCTTAGTATTTACAATCTTCTAAAGCCACTAGTACGCGCAGCGTTTCGGGCAGATCCTTAATCTAACAGATAATTTTAAGTACGTAAATTCTAGCAGAATTAATAAAATGATAACAGATACATTGCAAGAAAAAAATGAGATGAGAGAGAATAGTAAGTATATTAAAGCACATTGGTATATTAAAGCTCTGACTGATTACATTGACAACTTGATTGGTAATTTAAACTAGATTAACAGACACCATACAGCAGATTGATAGCACTGTACCGTAGACCTGTACTGGCCACTCAGTGTAGCCTCAATATTCACTAACCTACAAGTCAGTGTCTCGTATATACATACAATGTAAGGTGATGTCAAAAGATGTTACGAGACTAGAAGAACTGCTTGAGAAACTGGTCTTTATAACGAGACATCAGTATGGGTTCAGGGGACGATGTGACCAGGTGAAAGTGTACCATTCAGTTGTCGTACGACATCGTAACGGTTGAGAGGTCGTATGTGTACACGCCAGGGAAGGCTTCACGAGATGTGAACCTGGGAGTACAACTATGAATGGCAGCCACTACAAAATAAACGATTTCTTTAGGAAAAAAATGGTTTAAGCCTCTTAATGTATAACTTTTATACTCCCGGCCCCTTCCTCCCCCACCCCCTCCCCCACCCCCTCCCTCACTCTCACCACACCACCTCTCTAACCTCTCACTTCAGTCCTCTCTGTCCTCTCACTTTCCTCCTCCCCCCCTTTTTTTAATAAGACTAGGGGTTCATTAGTAACGGTACTCATCCCCCTTCCCTCCTTACCTGTTCATCCTCACTAACGGTGTCACGGGCGTTACAGATCTGCTTGGAGAGTGAGGAAGGTGTGAGGTGCTTGTGTCACCCCGGGTCCACGGTCGGCCGCGACGGCCAGTGCCTTCAGTTAGACCTCTGCCTGAACAACAACGGCGGCTGTGAAGAAACCTGCTCCAGCACCCAGCAGGGAGCTGTCTGCTCCTGCGGCCCCGGCAAGGTAGGTGTCAGGGCAAGGGGTAGAAGGAAGCTGTCTGCTCCTGCGGCCCCGGCAAGGTAGGTGTCAGGCAAGGGATAGAAGGAAGCTGTCTGCTCCTGACACCCCAGCAAGGTAGGTCTCAGGACAAGGGTAGAAGGAAGCTGTCTCCTCCTGCCACCCCAGCAAGGTAGGTCTCAGGGCAAGGGGTAGAAGGAAGCTGTCTCCTCCTGCCACCCCGGCAAGGTAGGTCTCAGGGCAAGGGGTAGAAGGAAGCTGTCTCCTCCTGTCACCCCGGCAAGGTAGGTCTCAGGGCAAGGGGTAGAAGGAAGCTGTCTCCTCCTGCCACCCCGGCAAGGTAGGTCTCAGGGCAAGGGTAGAAGGAAGCTGTCTCTTCCTGCCACCCCAGCAAGGTAGGTCTCAGGGCAAGGATAGAAGGAAGCTGTCTGCTCCTGCCACCCCAGCAAGGTAGGTCTCAGGGCAAGGATAGAAGGAAGCTGTCTCCTCCTGACACCCCAGCAAGGATTCAACAATGACAAAACGGTCAAACTTGAATGAAGAGCAAGATCACAGCATCATGAGGAGTAAGGATCTCATGCCAAAAATTAAATGTATAAATGTTCAATATGAGGCAAATAAGAAACTGTGATACACCTTTAGAAATATTAAGACAACATCAGATGTTATTCTTCATTTTTATCTTGACCCTGTTAGGCCTAATTTACACTACAAAATTCAGCTCTGGGAGCGCACCATAGAATTAGAAACATAGCATAGCAAGAGTAAAGAGGTATACGACAAGCACACACATGGGTGAAAAGGTATACCAGAGATAACGCTAATGGGTTGTTAAATATATGAGCAGAAAATAGAACATGAAACAGCTCAAATTGGACTAGATCAGGCGGCATAAATTGGTTAAATACTGCTTTGGAAATAGGGTAATAGGCTTGTGGAACAGGAGGCCGAGTACACAGGAACAGACGAGACTTCGGGTACGTGAGTTTGGTGTAAATAGGAGCCGCTACGCATGGGGTCAATTGTACATCTGCAGTCTTCTATGTTCTTATGCTTCCTTCACTCTCCCTCCTTCCTTTACGTCCCTACTTCCTTCACACTCATTGTTTCCCTCATACTCCTAGCCTCCCTCACACTCCCTCACCTCATCGTCCTCCTTCAGACACTAGCGACGGATGGACGAAGTTGTAAGGTCTTGGACAAGTGTAGCCTCAACAACGGCGGGTGTCAGCAGATCTGTGACAACACTCCGGGAGCTTTCCATTGCAAATGTGTCGGTGGCTTCCTCTTGCTCGACGACGGCCGCTGCCAGGGTGAGTACAGTCACACTAGTGACCCCTATGATATGGTTTTCCGGCTGCCAGTGTGAGTACAGGCATACTAGGGATCCTCGGACAGGTTCCGGCTGCCGGTAGGGATCCTAGCACAGGTGTTTCCGGCTGCCGGTGGGATCAAAAGCAAACTAGTGATCTAAGGGCAAAAGTTTCAAACCTTTCTAACACAACATTACCTTTAAAGAAACAATGATGATTGACACTGCTTTCAAATAATAACAAATCTTACATCAATAATGGCTCCTGTTGATAACCCAAAATAGTTTTCCCTAATGTGAGGAATTAAACAGACTAGGTGATGATGGCAGTGGTGATTCCTTTTTGCTTTCATGACATTCCTTTTGTTTTTTTATAATTTACCGTTGACGTTTTCAACTTATTTAAGATGTGTGATAAAGAGACGCCTTGACAGTGGGCCTTATATCTACTTCCTCGCAATCATTTTCAGTCAATTAAACGAGGAAACTCAGGAGATGGAAGAACTCGACAACCTGTGACAACTAACCTTGTACCATGCATGTAACTAATGTTGTAAATAATATTTTTTTACAAGTGGATACATTTGTGAGAACCGCTGGTCTTCCATGTGGGGGACACACTAAAACAACCTTGTTAATTTTGATCCATGCGGTGTTTGATGCAGATTTTCTTCCTCAGCCATTATCCAGACAACACCCCGCACCACCACCTCCACCACCACCACCTCTACCACCACTTCTACCACCACCACCTCCACAACCACAACAACCACAAAGCCATCAACTGGAGGCGAAGAACCTCGGCCAACTCGCGGTACGTTTTTTTCTGTGGTTGGTTATGAGAGAGCAAGAGGCAACATTGTTATTGTACATATAACTATTTTCATAAGTTCCTCGTAATCCATTTTCTACTTAAAACTATAGTCTAAACAGCTGTACCTTTCTCCACCTCTGCTGAAGCTTTCTTCATTTAGTGTGACCTCTTGCTTACTCCTTCTGATAACTTTCTATCTTAAGCTCTCGTTAGCTTTCTTTAATCCTTCTATTGTCTTCTTGGCCTGTCTTTGATCCATGTGATGTGTACTTGATCTAACGTCTAGCATTTCATCGATGACTCTTTGATCTTCCTAACACATACCAATGTGACCCCATGTACATCTCTGTACATGACCCTATGTACATCTCACTGACCTCTTGTTGAACCTTTTAATATCTCTTTAACTATTCGTTTTCCATTCTAACGTTTCCTTAACCACCTACAGGATGTGGTATCAACACAAAGAAATCGCTCTTCAACCGCATCGTTGGGGGCAAGCCTGCGGATCCCAAGGACTGGCCATGGATGGCGGCCCTCCTGAAGAGCTCAACTAATACCCAGTACTGCGGGGGCACTCTTGTCACAGACAGACACATTCTTACAGCTGCCCACTGCCTCAAACCGTATGTATCTCTGCCACACACACACACACCTGTGTGTGTGTGTGTGTGTGTGTGTGTGTGTGTGTGTGTGTGTGTGTGTGTGTGTGTGTGTGTGTGTGTGTGTGTGTGTGTGTGTGTGTGTGTGTGTGTGGTGGAGAAAAAAAAAGTAGTTAGTAAACAGTTGATTGACAGTTGAGAGGCGGGCCGAAAGAGCAAAGCTCAACCCCAACAAACACAACTAGGTGAATAAACATACACACGCCACCAGACTAATACCCGAACTGAGGGGTATGAGCTATGAGGAGAGACTACGGGAATTAAACCTTAAGTCACTGGGAGACAGAAAAGTTAGAGGGGACATGATCACCACATACAAGATTCTCAAGAGGAATTGATAGGGTAGATAAAGGCAGACTATTTAACACAAGGGGCACACGCACTAGGGGACACAGGTGGAAATTGAGTGCCCAAATGAGCCATAGAGACGTTAGAAAGAATTTTTTCAGTGTCAGAGTAGTAGACAAATGGAATGCATTAGGAAGTGATGTGGTGGAAGCTGACTCCATACACAGCTTCAAGTGTAGATATGATAGAGCCCAAAAGGCTTAGGAACCTGTACACCAGTTGATCGACAGTTGAGAGGCGGGACCAAAGAGCCAGAGCTCAACCCCGCAAGCACAACTAGATACTAGGTAAGTACACACACACACTAAATTACACACACGTATGGGCCTCGCGGCTGGGTGAACAGCGCTCGGGAGTCGTAGTCCTAAAGGCCCTGGTTCGATTCCCAGCCGAGGCGGAAACAAATGGTCTGAGTTTCTTTCACTACTGTTACCCCTGTAAGCCCCTATTACCTAGCAGTAAATAGGTACCTGGGAGTTAGACAGCTGCTACGGGCTGCTTCCTGGGGATGGGTGTGTGTATGCGCGTGTGTTAGAGAGAAATATATGTAGTAGATATAGAGGAAAAATAGATTAGTTAGAAAGGCGGGGTCCAAGAGCTAATAGCTCGATTCTCCAGACACAAATAGTAAATACACACCAAAAGTCCTCGCAGCCGAGTGGACAGCGCTCTGGGGTCGTAGTCCTAAGAGCCGAGTTCGATTCGCCGTCGAGGCAGAAACGAATGGGCAGTTTTTTCACATGAAGCCGATAAAGACAATAAAACCATGCTTAGAGAGGCCTGTTGATATTATTTTCTCATTTGATAAGTTTATCTTCCAGTTTACCAAGTTTTATTATTTTATTTATCTAGTTCATCTTCCCCCTTTTTTATGGTCATTGTTTCCGCTTTTTCTGGTGCAGGTTCACAGCCAAGGACATCCGGGTGAGGCTCGGGGAGTACACATTTGACCAGACAGTCACCAGCGACGCCATCGACTTCGGCGTCACAGAATTCCGGATGCACGAAAGGCGAGTCAAGTTCCTGTGTTTACTTCTTGCCAATTCACAAATGTTTACTGGTTCATGTTTGTTAATTCTTTTTATTATTCGTTAGTTTTGTATTTCATTTCTCATCTCTTCTTTATTTGATTCTTTTTCTTTCAAGTGTGCTTTCATTTCTGTTTTATTCCGCTCTTTGTTTTTCTTTAGTTGTATAACTTGAGTTGTCATGGTGGTCCACAGGTATGACTCGAAGACCCAGGAGAACGACATTGCCCTGGTGAAGCTGGACAAACCTGCCACCTTTAGCGAGACCATCTGGCCGGTGTGTCTACCGCCACCACAAACCTCCTACCAGGGACGCGATGGCTATGTCACAGGTCTGCTTGCCTCTTAACCATTTAAACTGATCATGAAACATGAAATTGATCATGTATACATCACTGTATCTGTCAAATTATGTGTTTTTCATTTGTTTTTGTATTTATAGATGTATCCACTTTTTGTTGTAAGTGCCATGCTGGAGTGCTTCATCCGTTCTGTTTCTCATGTAGGTTGATATTCATTTTAATTTCGGTGGTTAGCGTGTCATTAACACAATCATACTGCTACAGGTTGGGGTACGATATACTACGGGGGCCCCGTGAGCCCGACGCTACAGGAGGTGGTTGTGCCCATCTGGTCCAAGCAAGACTGCAGCTCAGCCTACCCTTCTAAGATCTTGCCTGGCATGATGTGTGCCGGCAGCAAGACAGGTGGCATGGATTCGTGTCAGGTAAGTCGAGGGCATCTATACCCAGGAAATGGTCACCTGGCTGACCCCGCTACGTTTACACTGAGGCTCTGCAGAGTTCTGTAGATTGTTAAGAGAGCTTGAAGGATGAGTTTGGCTTGGGTGTTGGGAAAATGTCTAATAAATTCGCAGGATTAAGACAGGTCGTAGAGGATTGTAAGAACGTCTTCTGGATAACTGCAGGATAGTTATGAACCACAACGTTTCTAGCAGTTTGAGAATACTATATTTAAATAACGTGGGGGAAGGGAAGTTTGGGAGCCTTTTATATTGGAGGATTTCCTAGTCAAAACATTTAGTCTCAGTCGTAACGTCTATTTAAAAATATTTACTAAATCGTCAAATTTTCGGGTGTTAACTGTGGCTATTTTCCTTTTTCCTTATGTTATAAAGTTTTCATTACGTCCGTGCAAGGATATTTTTTGGCTAGTGATTTATTTGCATTTATATCCACTTGTCATCTTCCATTCTCTTTTACCACTTAAAATGTCATTGCTAACATTTATTGCAAGCGCAAAGTTGTAGACTTCATCACAACTTTCCTTCTGCAGGGTGACTCCGGAGGACCCTTCCAGGTGCAGGACTTCCGCAGTCGTCGGTGGTACGTTGCCGGGGTGGTGTCGTGGGGCGAGCGGTGCGCCCTGCCAGAGAAACCTGGAGTCTACACTGAGGTCGCTCTCTTTGTCGACTGGATCAAGAGTAATGCCATCTTCTAGTTCCTGTCCCCCTGGGACAGGAAGGAAGATATAATGTTCTACGTAGAGATGGCCTTCATCATAGACTAAATCAAAATCAATTTCACCCTCTCGTCGTAGCTGACTGGGAATAATAGGGAAATTAAAAAGATATATATATGATTTTCTGTTTGAGGTGGCCATTACGACATAAACTTTCCTTCCTTACAAACTACAGCTACATTAACCTGCCTTTCTAGCGGGAACTTGACCATTACCTTCCATTATCTGTGGACCCGCTCCCGTCTACACCCTTACAACTCGACTTTGAAATCAATCCTTTAATTTCTTTCTTCATGTTGTGTGCCTGAGTACACAGCATGTGCTTGCAGGGCTTGAGCTTTGGCTCTCTGGTCCCACCTCTCAAAAGTCAATCAACTGGTGTACAGATTCTGGAGCCTATTGGGCCCTTATCAAATCTACATTTGAAACTGTGTATGGAGTTAGCCTCCACCACATCACTGCCCAATGCATTCCATTTGTTAAATACTCTAGACACTGAAAAAATTGTGTGTTATCTCACATTAAACAGCGTCATGTTCTGTGGTCAATTGTGTGCTAAAGAAAGATAAGGTGCGTCATGTTCTGTGGCCTGATGTGTTAAAAGAAAAAATAGATTCGTCATGTTCTGTGGCCAAATGTGTGACACAAAGATAAGAAGCGTCGCGTTCTGCGGCCAAATGTGTGTTACAGAAAAAATCTAAAGCTTCGTAGTGTTGAAGTTATTTACGTAGTTTGGGGGGTATTATTACTGTGGGCATTCAGCACTAAGTATATTTGATCCGTTATATATAAACTTGTATTTAGATTACGCTTTAATATTATAAGTGTGGCCTTATTTAATATGCAACCTCTCTCCCTTCAAATAAACCACTGTAATTTGCTCTTATGTATATTTTCTGAATAAAAATATTATAATGATTAGTATACTTATTATAAATACGAACTTGATGGTGAAAATAAATAACAATTTAATACATATTCACTTGTGTCTTACCTGGTGAAAGATTCCTAATGCAAGGTGTAAGTAACCCTCCTCCCTGTATCACGCCATGCATTCTTCCGTTACCACCACCTCCTCCCTGTTCTGCCCTCTCCTCCTTTTCCGTTCTCTTATTCTTTTCCGCCTTCTCCATTTTAAGAGGAAAGATATCAGGATGAGAAAGGTAATGCGTGGAGTACCTCAAGGAACGGTTCTAGGGCCCATCCTCTTCCTTTTATAGGTAAAGCACCTAACAGGAAGCAAACTCATTCCCACCCATGTTTGCTGAGGATCCTAGCCTAAAGAGAATGATCAGAACTGAGATGTACTGGAATATATTGCAAGATGAACAAAAGTGACTCGAGAACTGACCCGCTCTCCAAAAATGACCCGAGAAATTTGAAACTGCTGGACTTTAACCCAGACAATTACAGAGGTTTGATTATATGAACAGAAGTGAGGAGGCTTCAGTTACATTACTAAATGAAGGGAAAGCCATTTCCCACAAAAAGAGTTTTGAGAGTAGACATTGCTCCAAATCTGACGCCATAGACACACACGAATAGAGTGCTGCAAATGGCAAACGTCTGGATATCCATCAAGAACTTGAGCAAAGAAACCTTCCGAAATAGCTCATCAGGTGTTATTTCTATAATTAACTCATTTAAAAAGAAAAACAATGAACCTCTTTGAATTTCCTGGAGCTGACTAAATCCTAGTATACAAATTTCAAATAAAGAGCTTTAAGTCTACCAAATACAACAAAATACAGTACAACTGTTAACCCATTTTAAAAGTTACTTAACCAATCTGCTGTAGTGAATTTGAATTACTGTTCATGTATGCTACAATATAGGACTTGTACAGTACTTTTGAAATTGTACCTATACCCAAAACAAGTAATGAAGAGGCTAATTTTTCATTGTAAATATTTGCAGTAATAATAATAATAATAATAATAATAATAATGATAATAATGTTTAAAAAAAACTAGCTACATTATAATACACATATACATGATACAGCAGGCCGTCACTATGCCAAAGGTGAGCTGTGCAGACAGCACTCTACACAAATTCTAAACTACAGAAGAGCTACTAACTAAAGATATAGAAGCCTGAGTACTTCTGGTTCCAGCGGTGAGAGCGAATTATGAAGACGTATCCTATATTGATTGAGGCTATAAGGCCAACGTGAACACTAAATGACCTTTATCTGTGTCCTTGCTATTATTATGACTGGTAATGCATAAGTATCCACGTAGGAAAATGGAATGAAAACGTTTGGAATTTTCGTTTAATTTTCCAACGTGGATACTTAAGCATAGCAGAATCACGTGTTTTTTTCTGATTATTCTTGCGTCACCTTGGAACATTACTTACTGTAAATTTGTGTAACCTAACCCAACTATAAATGTACAGACATTTATTAATAAAATATTTGAATTTGAATGTGATCTTTAATGTGTTTTCTGTTCTACAATTAAGCCGACATCAGTTGCTGCAACTGACAAGCTCCGAGCGAGCCACCGGCTTCATGTGCTGACCATTAGATAAAAGACTAATTGCCCTCTTCAATCCCTAATATATAAGATTAGCTTGTAGAGGTGAAGGTAGGCTCTACGCGAGCTGCGGTGTGGGAGTGAGTGTGCGCAGTGTGTGCACATGTTTGCTGATCACTCTGAATAGTTGGGGGTGAGTGATGGACAGCAAGTCTTGCCAAACACACTGATAACACTGCCGCTGTTGGTTCTACAACACTCGCTGGCCCAGGTTTCTGTGATACAGTTTCATCATCGGGGGTGAGAGTGACTAACGGCCAATCATAGAAGCTAACAAACGGCAAGTGAGAATTATTATATACAGTAGACCATGACTGACGACACCAGCGACACCAGTCACATCAACAATGAAAACAAGCCTCCACAACACACCTTGGTGGGAAAGTGGAAAGGAGCAGAACATTGCATCTTCAAAACTAAGGCGTCAGCTCCACAAATCCAGTCTTCAGACATACCCGAGGATGAGGGCCTGCCGCTCGAGGAGGCTTACAGATACTTAATCTTTTGTGCCAGCTTGATGGGTCTTCACCTGATGAGCAAAGATGCGGATGGCAACTTGTTGATAAGCCGTCTGAAAGTTGCTTCCTTAATCATCTGCACGTTCGTGTGCCTCCTAGCCATGGTCTTCACTCTATATCCATTAATCTTCGGGAATGACCCGCTGCCCTTCTGGTATATGGTGTTCATGCTGCCTTACCTGGCTGGCAGCATTTTCTGTATCTTCGTTTACATGCAGTCGGCACGACAGGTGAGGGCAACCAAGTCTTATATAGAAGAGATTAGACCCCTCAGAGTGCCCGTCACCTTCCAAACGCGACTGTTAATTTTGGGGGGATTCATATATCCCATAGTGATCACCGGGTGCTCACTGAGCATGATCCCAGGATGGAATGAATGGATCAGCTTTATCCCCATTTCTGTGATGTGCTTCGTGCCTTCCGTCTTCGACATTTACATGAGCGCCTTCGTCCTGACGATCCACAATGCACTGACGAAGCTGCGGAATAAGGTGTGTTCCTGCCACTTGTGGACCAGCCAGGCCGTGCACATGCTGGCTCATGAGTGGCTCCACCTGGCTAGGCTCCTCAACTCTCACAACCAGGTACTGCTAACACACTTTTTGAGTGAGTGAGGAAAAAAAGACAATACAGTATATAGTTAAAATAAACCGGAGGCTGATTAGCAGAATTCTGCACTGATCAACTAGTGACAAAATTGATAAAATCAATTATGTGCAGTAAGACTGGCAATTCTCTCCGCTGAAAGAAACTAGCAACTAAAGTATCTGTTCTTGGTGGTTTTGCAGGTGTTTCGAACTCGTGTTTCGCTCCGTCTGATGATGTTGATCACGCAGGCGATGGCGCACCTGTTCATGTTCTGGGCTCTGCAAGACTTCCACGGGGACTGCGTGGCTGTAGTGGCTACCTCCACCACCTCTCTCGTCGAAGTTCTGCTCCGCTTGAAAAACCTCTGCTGGATGGGGCAGAAAATCTTGACTGAGGTGGGATTTGGTTGCCGTGTTCGCCTCATTGAGTTCTTATCAAACGTACATACGTGCACTTCATTTCTGGATTAATTTATTCCTGATTTTGCACTTCTCACCACGGCTCTCTTCAATATAAATATACTAGAAGGGTACCCTGCGGTGCATGGGGTGTCTCTCCCCCCACACTTCTCTCTTCACCATCCTCTCCCCCTTTCCCGGCCCTGCCTCATCTCACCTTCCTCCACTCTTCCCCTGCAACTATCTCTCCTATCTTACCCATTTTCCCCTTCTTTCCCCCGCTTCCCTGACTGGACTCCAACCTCGAACAGAGGGACATTTCCATTTAACACTGAATTCACCTTTTTTATTAACATATTTAAGTACAACTGCATTTATGTAGCTACCCTAGACTATATGGCAGCTACCCCTAGACTATATGAAGTGTTACATGAAAAACAATCCCAATCACACAGAGCCATGTCATCAGAAGTCTGCACTGACAAACTTTTGCTGCATGATGAGTATATCATCAAGAACACGAGTGAATAAAGTGGCAATGATACTAAAAAGTCCCCATCTCGTAGGATGGTTAGATGGTTAGTTAAGTGTTCACCTTCAGTAGAATTCACCGTCTTTATGTTCAAGCGAAGAAATCTAGGGAGTCAGCCAGCCACATTTTGTTGGGAGGTAGTCACTATTCGGCTTTACTCCTCGTAATAGGACCTAAGACCAACCCCCAACCAGCCTATGTTCGTCACTTATCCCAGATCATTCCTCCTGGAAAGTTGCATGAGACTAGCCCCAAGCATTTGGCCTCCAATCTTTGACAAAGAAACATTTCCTATTATAACTGACACATTACTTTAGCCATATATAGGGTCTGCTTACCGTTGTCTCCGTGGGCTCACAGGGGGAGGCGGTGTTGGAGAGTGTGCGGGAGGCGGCCTACTCGACAGGTGTGGGAACGCCAGCACACGACGCCCTCATTGTCCTCACTGCCAGACTGGAGGCTTCTCCGCCAGCAGTGTGCAACTGGGGCATGGACAGGTCAGTCCTTCACACTCGTCTCAACGTTGCTGAGAAGTAACCATGACGTTTTGAAAAAAATTTGAAATGCGATCCTTCTCAGGATCTAATTAAACACCTAAATTATACATTCAACAGTAAAAGTTTAGCTTAATCAGTTAATTATAGACAAATGTGGCGTGAAGACTGAAAAGACAGTCACGTGATGGGTTCACGGTTAATTTCCTAAAAGCACGAAATATTATATTTGTGTTGTAAAAGTAAAATTTAATTTGTATTTGTATATTATGCATATCCGTGACCAGTCCAATGGCCGGCGGTAAAATGGTTACAGCAACACAATGACTATTCACTACCTACATTGTGCAAATTAGACACTTGGGCTAAAATTTTGGGCAGTAGGTAATTTTGCATGAAACATCTTGATTTTTGTAAATATTCTTCTTTGATATTTACTTACTTACTTTGCTGTAATATTATCTATAATTATTGTAATTTGTTCACATTCAATTATATACGCAGGGTGGGCGAATATTTTTGCTGGCAGTTTACGTTTGGTCAGGTCTACATCAGCAGGTGATTCATACTCTCAGAGATACTTATATCCAGATATCCAGATATAGCCAGGCACAGGAAACAAAAGAGTAAATGAAACTACAGGTTTCTTGGGCCATGCGAGGCAGTTTCAAAATATCCTCAAACTCATTCACATGTATATCTAACCTAACCGTGAAACAATCCCTCGTTTATTGTTAGCAGGTCATTTGCTTCATAAATCAATCCCTTTCAAAATCAATATTTACCCTGGTCTTTATCTGCATATCTTCATGTGTCTGGCTTCAGACAAAAGCATGTTGAAATGATGT